AACAGATGGAAAAACATGAAAAAGGCAAGGGTTTCTGGGGTGATATCGTTGGCTGGACCGACTGTATCGTTGGGATAAAGTTAGATCAACTTTTGAATGCAAAGTGTTCTTTAGGTTCAAAGGAGGTATCCTTGAGGGTCTCCTGCTCATATCTGAAGACTGCTTTGCACTAGACCAATGGTTTCCAACCTGTGGTCCAGACCCCTGGGGGCCCACAGACTACGTCTAAGGGGTCCACAAAAGATGACTAGGATCAAAAGTACATAAATACCCACGTTTACAATTCAAAGGGGTCCACAGCTCCATTCAATTTTTTTTAGGGGTCTGCAAATAAAAAGGTTGAAAATCACTGCATTAAACAGTAAAAGATATCACCCCCCCCAAAAATCCTTGGCTCTTGCATAATTCCTGGACCAATTCAGCTACAATATCACTCTCTAACACCACCAGATGGACCCGACCCCCCCCAAACTTAACCCCTTAGTGTCCCACACTCCCAGGATCCCAAGACGTTATAGAAAATAGCCAAAGGGAGGATAACTGTAGGGCAGGGCCAGGCAATTATTTTGGGCGCAGGGCCACTTACTGAGTTTTGGCAAGCCATTGAGGGCCGCATAACAGGCAGCCAGGGGTAGATTAATATTAATTTTCTAAATTTTTTAGGGGCCCCGCAGGCCGGATAGAGTGGCCTGGCGGGTCGCATCTGGCCCACGGGCCACATTTTGCTCACCCCTACCTTAGGGTTAAGACTGATCTGGGAACTTGGGACGCTGCCTTCAGTTACCCAGGTCTGCCACCAGGCTCCTTGATCACAGATCTTCCTCTCCCCCATTGCACAATGAAGATATGACTTTACCTCATCTGTTTAGGCTGCAAAGTCTTTGGAGTAAAAACTATGTGCAGCTATGTCCCTAGTGCTGAGGGCTTCGTATCCTGCTCAGGACCTCGGGGTGCTGCTGCAATGCAAATGGCAAAATAAAAGACGCAGGAAATGTTGGAGCCAACCCACGAACAAATAATTTTAATGGTTTTCAGCAGACTGCAGCTTCTAGGAGCTCCATTGTCTCCTCTCTTTGAAGTTGGACAGAAACAGTAAACACAACAAATATATGATACAACCCATCACAGCTGGATTAAAAAAATACACAAAAAATATAATACATAAAAAAAAAATGGTTTTACATTGTGGACTGACACAGCTCTACAAATGGTGACCGTAACCCTGGTAAGCTTTACAAAGTCTTTAAAAAAATAAAACAGTACTTCATGTGAAATTCATAAATACACTGGGGCAGAGGGGAGGGCTGGGGGTTACTTACTGACAAGAGTCTGTCTCTAGGTACCTGTTTTTAAGTCCCGTTAAGAGAGATGCAAGCACTCGGCCTCCTCACTGCTGTCCTACGGGGTCAGCAGCGGCGGCGGTGCTAACGGGCAGCGCGCGTGTGTATTTGTGTCCGCAAACCAGAGGTCAGAGGGTGTGTGGGAAGCTTTGCAACCACAGAATGAAGCAGGGCATCTAATGCTAGATGCATGGAGATTGCAAGGGAGGGGAGGCCGGAGGGTACAGCTGAGGAAAGGCTAAGAAACATGAAACAGTCCAGTTCACGCAGGGTTCGGGCCAAGAATACGAGGGCTGGGTTTGCGGGGTTTATAAATCCATCCTCGGCCGGTGGAGCAAACTCTTCCCCTCAGCGAAAGGACTGGAGCCTGCCCCAGGAGTGTAGACAGCACCCCCTTCTCTCGAAGGCAGGTTTAGGAAGGGAAGGAGAAGGGAGATCCGGTGTGTCTGTGTGCTGAGGGGAATACTTGGAAAAGGAGGGAGGTTCCCAGAGTTTTTGATCGGTGAGTGAAACAAAAACGAAGAAACAAACAAAACATGCTACATATAAAATAATCCAGCCAGGTCTCCCCGCCACTGGGGTACAGGCACTGCAAGAGATGCTACCTGGGGTTTCAAAAGTTCCCCCTCCCCGCCACCGGATCGCATCTCCCCTCTGCCGCCTCTCTCTCTCACCGCCCGAGCGGCTCAGAGCTGGTTTGTAAGGACGTTCGCCCTACAGCTAGAGAGCGGGCTTTAATGGATCTCACCCGTTCAGAAGGCAGCTTATCCAGCCTTAGAGAACCAGCCACAAATGACTGAGTTGTCTTAAGAGCCTAGGACAGAACCACGTGCCACGCCGGGGGAGAAGTACTTTTCCCAACATCGCTGTTGCCACCCCAGGTAGCACAGACAGGGAGCCTGGGAGGTTTGCTAGCTGGCAATTGAGGCTCAGAATAATTTGAGGATGGAGGGGTTCATCCCAAGATTAGAGCTGAAGTCCCGGGAGTCTCCGTGTGCCTTTCAGGACTGCTCTGAATTCCACGTATCGTCGGGTCTCGGAAGCTCAGCACCCACCGTTCGCTCCCCAGGGCTGCCACGTGTGCTTCGCAGTAGGGTACGTTTCCTGAGCTATCGGGCCTCGCTGCTTTATTGATTTGGTTGTGACGTACCATCCCGTCAATGTTACCTTCGTCTCCTCGGGCTCGCACATGCATGGGAGCGTCCGTCTAAACTTCCTGGGGAGGGGTTTCCCGGAAGTTCATGGCTGAGATCACTTGCAGCGTTATCAGAATAGTTAAATACATTGTACAAGAAAAAAAACTTGGACCAATATAAAGGCTCCTTCAGGGCTGGAAGACCTGCTGGCTTCTCCAGGATTTCCTCCTGCCTGTTTCGCCCCACGTTGGATTCACATGAAACAGCACAGGGGACCACCGCATGACTCAGAAGCTGACGGGGGGACACACTCTTGTCCATCGCAGCTCGGCTGCCTTCACACCGAGCTGTCTACAGCCTGTGCACGTGGCCACCCAGACAATGTCCGGGCGTCCAGCCAGTCGGAAGAAAATGCTAACCAGTCACTACGGCAAGCAAAAGAGAGCCCAAAAGAAGAACCAGGTCAAAACCAAAAGGTTCAGCCTCATGGATGCGAGGCCAAGTCCGTTCAGAAGAATGCATAGAAGAACAGGCTAGGAAGCAATGAAATGGCAGGTCTCCATGGCATCCCCCTTCTGTGTCCACACCCCATCACCACTGGCACCCTCCTCCCAAGACGGAGGTGGTGAAAACAACAGGACCTTAACCCATCTTTTTATGAAGCAACACACTGCAGTTGGGCTCTCCTCTCCTCTCATTCACCCGGAAAAGGCCCCCTCCCAAAGAGAGAGAGAAAGACGGGGAAGACGGAAGAAGAACGATGGGGTTGGAGAGGATCCTCCAAAGGCCAGTCTTCCCTTAGGCTCTCCTTTCATTGCACCTAGTTCACCTACATGTGTACCAAACCCTTGAGCTCTGTACAGTCTCCATCCATCCAACAAGGCTAGTCTCCTCCAGCCACCACCTCACCATCCCTACCCTCCTTCTCTTACTTTCTCATCCAGCCCCTTTCTAGGGGGCATGTTTTTCTAGCACTAGGTCCTGCCTTGGCACAGTTTAGCTATGATTAAGCCTCCACATTAATCCAGCCGGGCAGGAGGATGTGTTAGCAGGCCTGGACCTGTTCATTCATTCTCTGCCTGGCAGCCCTCACTCTTCTCAAAACCTCTTCCTTGGGCTTATTTCCAACCTTGCTCACCCACCTGCCCGAGTGGCAGAGGAAAGAGGTTTTACCGTTCTTCTGCTGACTCCTAACTCCCTACCGCACAGCCCCAGATTCCTTCCCCCACTTGTAACACGGTTGCTATAGGAAATCCTGGGCTGCCCTAAATCCTGACACGCTCAGAGCTCAATGGAAAAGCAGCTCCCACGGCTGGGATTTTACAGGGCACAGGAGAGGCAGCGCAGTGCGAGAGGAGTGCTGGGAAGGGCACAGGGCTGCAAGAAGGATGGGCGGCTGAGGGGAAAAGTTGAAACCAAGAAGGTCCACCAGAAAGAGCCAAAGACAAAGAAATGGAAATTTTACAAACGCAAATTAGGGCTGGAAAACCCAATGTTGTTACTGTTTCCTTATCCATTATTCTTAAATTACAAATGAGTACTTAGAGGCACTCGAGTCAAATGCCACCGGCTTCACTCTAGAAGGTGTAGATGGCTCAAACTCCCAGTGACTTCAGTGGGCAGCACTTTTAAAAATTATTGGCATTACGGTTGCTCTTAGAAACCTCAGCTGAGAGCAGGGTCCCGTTGCGTTAGGTGCCGTGTAGAAGCATAAGCACTGGGGCCCATCGTTTTTGGGGGGGGTTTTGTTTCATTTTGTTTTGTGAGTAAAATCTTCCCAGAATTATCAAACCAGATGGGCTTGATGCACCCAAATCCAACCCGCATCTTTTAGTTGCTGGTTTCATTTGGTTCTGCATCTCTTT